ATTCCTAGTAATTCCTATGTTCCTCTAACCACAATGCCATAATCAAATAACAGCATACACCAAAATAAAGTGTTGAATTATGTTTCGATATAACAAATTTAAGGCAAAATGTTTTTGGACTTGAATTGAATTTATTCAAAGCTTTAAAAAGGTTTCAAAAATAATTCAAAGTCCATTAAATTCGGATTTGAGAAAAAATGCTAAAGGGTGTCAAAGTGCATCCATGCACTCATGCAGTGCATCCATGCACCCCTGCAGTACATCCATGCACCCCTGCAGTGTATCCATGCACCTGCCACTAGTGCATCGATGCACCATGCAGTGCATCCATGCACCATGCAGTGCATCCATGCACTCCATTTCGAATGCAGTTAGTGCATCGATGCACCTTGCTGTGTATCCATGCACCAAGGCTGCAACAGCTAGTAACGATTAGTTTATTTGAATTTAATGAAGGGGCATCGATGCACCTTGATAGTACATCGATGCACCATATTATGAGCAGCCTTTTTGAGTAGAAAATCATCCCCAAACCGCTCCAAAACATCCCAACGGTTATATACGATATCAAACACATTCCAAGCTATAAATACAAGCTAAAGACACTTGAAGAAGTAAGAGAACAACTATCCAAACAATCAAATACAAGAGAAGAGTTTTTCATTCTTATTTCATCTTTCTCTTGTAAATATTTTGTTCTTGTGAGCTTAATTCTTGTAAACACCTACCTTAGAGAGGTTTTCTTGTTTACATTTCTTATCCTTTCGTAAAGGGGAAATGTTCTAGTTTAGCCCGGAAAAACTAGAGAGTTATAAGGTTATCTCTTTGTCCTCAAAAGAAAGAACAATTAGTGAATTTGTTGGAAAATCCTTGGTGAGGAGCCTAGGTAATTGACGTAGACTTTGGTTGAGAAAGTCGAACCACTATAAATCGTTGTGCAATTCTCTATCTTTCAATCTCTTCACTCCCTAAACACAAAACCGTTCCGACCCCTCTTTGCAAACCGTTCCGGTTGTCGATTCGAGCTTCCGAAAATCCCAACAATTGGCATCAGAGCCTAACTCGTTAAGAAGGTTTAACCACCTTGAGACGATCATCGAATAAGCTCTACCAATTTTCAACACAACCGAGAAGATGGCTTCCACTTCCGACTCGTTCCACATGGAAGACTCCCTACCAACGACTATGCCTCCATACTTCAATGGAGTCAACTATCATCATTGGAAGAAATAAATGAAGGTATTCATCCAATCGAATGATCTTGATGCATGGGAGATTATCGAGAATGGCTACTCTTCTCCAAAGAAGAAGGAGAAGAAGTGGAGTGACAAAGAACTGAAGAAAGCTCAACTTAATGCAAAGGCCATGCACATGGTGTTGTGTGCATTTGGTCCTGAAATCTATGAAGAAGTTTCTTCATGTTCAAGTGCCAAGGAGCTTTGGAATAAGCTCGAGGAAATCTATAGAGACGAGAAAGAAGAACAAATTCCGGTGATATCTCTATTAGCTCTAACAGAGCCAAAGGTATCTTCAAACTCAAATAAGTTAAATTTACGTTCTTTTAATGAGTTACAAGATGCCTATGATGAATTATTTTCGGAGTTTGAGACCATGAACTCCAAATATAAAAATCTGATTTCTAAATTTATTGTTAAAAATGATCTTCTTTTGAAAGCTAAAACAGATTTGAAAAATCAAAATGAAATGTTGAGAAAAGAGTTAGAGCTTTCAAAAATGAAATTTGAAAGTATTGAAAAAGAAAATTTCGATTTGAAAGTTAAGCTTGAATGTTTAACAAAAGAAAAATAAATCATTTTAAATAATTCATCTAGTTCAATAATGACAATATGTTCACATTGTCATTATCATGGTCATAAGGAACATACTTGTCCTTTGAAGAAAGGAAAACGTTTTAAAATTAGACAAGTATGGGTTCCGAAAGGAACAAGGGGCATTAAAACTAACGTTCAAGGATCCAAAGCAATTTGGATACCAAAATCTACTTAAATGTCTCTTGTAGGTGTGTGAGAGCAATGGTGATGAAAATGATGATATTCAATATGCTCTAACCATACATGAAAAAGAATGGGTAACCTCTAAGCTTAATGTTTTTAATTTTAATTATTTGGTTGCTCATAGGTTTTATGCATGCATGAGTTTTGATTTTAAATGATTATGTATTGTTTTAATCTCATGTATGTTAAAAAAATGGTTATGATAAACATTTTAAATTTTTAATATTTTTTTTATTTTTAGTTCATCATAATAAAATTTTGGTCAAAATTGGTTTTAATGCAAATGATATCTCTCTAACAATTGATATCAATTTTTCAAAAACTTTGATTTTACAAATTTTAAATTTTTGACCTAAATTTAAATGTTTATGCATGTGATTTAAATGAAAATGATATCTCTCTAACAATTGATATCAAAATTTTCAAATGCATAACATTTCTAGAAAACTTTATGCATATGCACTTAATTTCAATAATTAATATTGCATAAAGTATTTTAGACTTAGATATATTGAATTTCATATACTACTAATATGTTTGTTATTCTTTTTTGAAATTCAATTTTGTTTAAGTGTCAAGTTCTTAAAGCTAAATTTTGTTTGAAATGCATTTATTGAGGGGGAGCTTTGATTTTTCAAATAAGTTTTAAAATGTCAAATTTACTACTTACTCTCCAAAGTTATTTTGAACTTCAAAGATTAAATTATTTTTATATAACAAAAAGGGGGAGAAGTTTAATTTGAAAAATTCAAATTTTTAATGAAAAAGGGGGGAACTTAACATTTTCATATATTTTCAAACAATTGGTAATAATTGATATCTTTTTTATTAAACATTTTATTAAGGGGGAGTTTTGCCAAAAACAATTTTTCAAATGTTTTGTTATATTAAAAAGGGAGATATTGTTGAATTATGTTTCGATATAACAAATTTAAGGCAAAATATTTTTGGACTTGAATTGAATTTATTCGAAATTTTAAAAAGGTTTCAAAAATAATTCAAAGTCCATTAAATTCGGATTTGAGCAAAAATGCTAAAGGGTGTCAAAGTGCATCTATGCACTCATGCAGTGCGTCTATGCATCCCCTGCAGTGCATCCATGCACCCCTGTAGTGCATCCATGCACTTGCCACTAGTGCATCGATGCACCATGCAGTTGCCACTAGTGCATCGATGCACCATGCAGTGCATCCATGCACTCCATTTCGAATGCAATTAGTGCATCGATGCACCCTGCTGTGCATCCATGCATCATACTGTGCATCCATGCATCCTACTGTGCATCCATGCACCAAGACTGCAACAACTAGTAACGACTAGTTTATTTGAATTTAATGAAGGGGTATCGATGCACCTTGATAGTGCACCGATGCACCATGTTATGGGCAGCATTTTTGAGTAGAAAAATCATCCCCAAACGGCTCCAAAACATCCCAACGGTTATATACGACATCAAACATATTCCAAGCTATAAATACAAGCTAAAGACACTTGAAGAAATAAGAGAACAACTATCCAAACAATCAAACACAAGAGAAGAGTTTTTCATTCTTATTTCATCTTTCTCTTGTAAATATTTTGTTCTTATAAACACCTACCTTAGAGAGGTTTTCTTGTTTACATTTCTTATCCTTTCGTAAATGAGAAAGGTTCTAGTTTAGCCCGGAAAAACTAGAGAGTTGTAAGGTTATCTCTATGTCCTCAAAAGAAAGAACAATTAGTGAATTTGTTGGAAAATCCTTGATGAGGAGTTAAGGTAATGGATGTAGACTTTGGTTGAGAAAGTCGAACCACTATAAATCGATGTGCTATTTTCTATCTTTTAATCTCTTTACTCCCTAAACACAAAACCGTTCCGACCCCTCTTTTCAAACCGTTCCGATTGTGATTCGATTTTCCGAAAATCCCAACATAAAGGCGTTAAGAGGGAAAAAGATTTCAAACACAGAATCATCTTCTATGATAAATAGAAACTGGGATTATACAATCAAGCAGAACTCGAGGGGTCTGAACTAAATAACCATAAGGGTCCTTAAATCTAACTGCGAACTCCAACAATTTATACCCAATAAAAAGAAACGAAAAGTTATGGGAAAACAAAATTTGTCCTCGAAAAGGAAAATCCTTCCACATGACCTGATAACTGGAATTGAAATTCGAAAGATCCGAACATATTTCTCAAAAGTGTATCCAAATCCAATGACAGAAAAACACAAGTAGGAGAATCCAGATTCAAGACAATGAGAAACAGAAAACACAGGAAGAAAGAAAGAGAAATGGGGAATAGGAATATAGTAAAAAAGGAAGTACTCTTGGACATTTCTGAGGGTTTGGCTGAATCTGGAATCAAGGCTTTCTTTCTTAGGCTGATCTTCTTCTCCTTTGATGTTGGTTTTCATGGTTTTGTTGCAATGACAAAAGCATGCTCTGTTTCTTTGTTTTCCTTTGTTGGTGGCTCTTTTTTTTCACTTTTACTTCAAATTCTTCTTGTTTGTTGCTCCTTTTTCTTCTTTGAATCTCATGTTTTTCCTACGGGAAAGAAGCTTAAGAAAACATGCAGAACTAACATTACCTAACAACAAAATGATTTATATATTAAGGATATATTAGTTTTTTTTATTGAATTAATTAGTTAATTGAAATATTTTGATACAAATATATTATCCAAAATCAAAAAAAAATTAAATCCAAAAAAAAAGATACTTTTTTACACTATTCAATTTTATAGAGTTGAAAAATCGGACCAGGAATCAAATAGGTTGGATCTTCAACTTCGATTCAATTGGTTCAAATAAAAATTATAAAATACTGGATTTGGCTGTTAAATTCTAATACCGCAATTATTGGTAAAATCTTATTAAAAAAGGGTCAATAAATACTCAAAATTATTCACCTCTAATTTAATTTTTTTTCATCAATCCATGCTCAAAGCAATACAACTTCCGTTTGTGGTATTGGCTTATATATAATTGGACTTGGATTTCAACAAATGAGGGGTCACAATTTTTTCATATAGGTTGAATGTTTCCCTTTAAATATAACTATCGAAGTTCAAATAAAAATAAATGCCCTTTGCTATACCCCCTAAGAATTTCTATTGTCCACAAACCTATAAAACAACATATATTATGAACTCATTCAATAATCCAAGAACAGCATCGTTGAGCCGAGCAACCATTTATTTTGGAACACCATGGGAAGCGAATCGAGTAACACATCAATGTAGAAAGCCTTCTTTTAGAGAATTACATCTTCCCTTCTAAGAATAGAACCTGGATAGAGTTGGAGGAATCACTATGAGATTGCATCCCTCGCAATTGGCTATTAGCTTCCACCCAAAAAGCAGTTGCTGCCACCAGAACTGCCCATAGCACAAAGCACATCACGGACTTGAAACTTCACATTGCGCGTTCCGACGTATTCCATAACTTCCAGACACTCCTGTAAATCTGAGTCACTAACCAACATTACCCATTCTTCTTCATCATCTAAATACTTGAGTTGGAATGTCCCAGTTTGAAGTTTGAACCTCCTCGCAACTTCTTCATATAGTTCAAAGCACCCAGCAGATGGCTCAAACTTAAAACGGACTGTATCATCTTTGTACGTAGCTTTCACAGTAATTTTTGAGCTGCTATCAACACAGATTGTCTTCACTTCAGAATTCTTAGCCTTCTCAAAACTTTCAGAGCTTGATGAACTTCCATGTGACATTGAACCAGATCCATTTGAAGAGTCTGTCATGCTTGAAGAAGCAGGTTGGTGGTTTTCTTCGGCATTCCCAATATCTATTTCAGCAGCAGCAGCCAAGGAGCTCGAACCCCGAAACATGAAATGGGAGTTTGAGTCTTCTACCTTCAGATTCTCCTTGTTCAGACAGCTGATATGCCCTTTTCGTAAATAAGAACCAATGGTTCCATTTTCTGAACAAGTCCAAGGGGTGGTGCCAATGCTACCTGCCTGGAATGATCCTGCATCTAGAGAAGCCGACTTAGAGTCATCACTACAATCAATAAGAGGGATGCTAGATTTTTTTACTTCATCACGGGTATTTGGAACAAGCACACTCCTTGCAGCCTTGCCGTTGTTTCCACCAAAGGAACACTCGTCTTCCTCCAACTTAACCACTGAATTTTCTTCATCGGGGTAAGATTCTAGTGACGCTGATGATTTCTCTTGACCAACCAGTTCAAGAATTTGGACGGGAAGGTTCTTATCGGAGAGTAGTAGTGTTTTCTGGGTATCAACTTCTTGCATGATGGTACCTGCTGCAATAAACTCTCCTGTTGATGGATCAAACTTCAATCCTCCTTCCACCCCTTGCACAGAGTCGAGAACAGTTTGTATTTTTTTTAATGATCTATTCACTTTGTTAATCTTTCGAGACGGCCATCTTGAGATCCCAAGTTGTCTACATATCCTTTTCAGTGTAGTGGGGCAAACTACAAGGAGCAGGAAACCAAAGGTCAATCATAGATCAAAATACAGAGCATGAACCGGGTTCACTTTACTGCTTGAAAATGAAATCCAAAACTTGCATATGTTCATTATACCCAATTTCAGAATTATTTTCTAAAGCATATAGACTAAATGATAAAATAAAATAAAAATCTAGTTTCATAGATTCTTCATGAATAAACAACAATTCTGCAGTATGTACTTGGATTGAGACAAAATACATTTCAGTTGTGATTTTGTTCAAAGAATCTCCTATCTGTAAAAAGATTAAGCTCAGATACTGTTTTATACAGTATGATAGGATTTTGGAGGTTTTTATGTCAATGTTACTCTACTGTAGCTCTTTATTTTCCTTCAAGTGTCCGTGTCTGAGGCATATCTAAACATGAGTGTACTAATATGACCCTCCAAGGATCCTCTAAATACATGAAAAACAAAGAAAATATTGAACATACATATGGCAGAAACATACAATTATCCATCACTCATACTAAGTAACATAGCTCAAGTTTATTAAAACTTAGAAATAATCTTTTTTTTATATAGAAAATTAGGTCTCGTTAAAAAACCCCTTCATACCCTCCATGTTATAACAGTAACATGAAGGACATTGGAAGGAGGAAAAGAGTGCCTATGAATTTTATTAATCAGAACAACAATACACAGCCAGTACCAAACAACCTATTGTTACTAGAAATAATCTTATTCATTTTACCTACTTAGAGAAGATGACAAGATTGCCAAGTAATTTGTAAAAATAATAGTACCGAACCATACAGAAAATCTTATAGGAAACTTGTGTATTTAAAGAGGTTCAGAAATTCAATCTCACAAAAAATATATAAACTCACATATTTAATGCTTTTATATACAGTCTTTCTCCAAAAGTTTTTTTTTTTTTGATAAAAGTTGGAGGTCTCATTAAAAACCCCCTTCATAATTGATCCTTTTGAAGAGGTAAGGAACAACTAGCGGACGGAGGAAAAGAGTACATCATTTTATTGATATGAAATTCATACAACAATATGCCTTCTCATTACGTCTTTCTCCAAAAGTAAGATAAGCAAAATCTTACAAAGTCAACAAACATAAAAACTTTTACAGAAACCTGATCGGAACCAATGTTATAGTAATCTAATGATGTATATAAACAAGTAACTTCAAGGCTTACCACCAAGGCTTTTTGCAGCATCCTTTAGACTCCCTGAGAAATACTGCTGAAGAACACTCAAGCTAACATTCTTTTCTGCTGAAGTTCTCTTCTTATCTATCTGCCTTCGTGGTCCGCTCATTGCCTATAAATATGCAATGAGATATTACTTAACCACATAAGATTGTCCACACAAGCCGGTACAACATCGAACATCGCAGCTAAATAAAGGAAATAAGTTGAATATACTCCCACACAAAAACTCATACATACCAATCATGTTAAATGAAATTAAAACAGGAAACACAACTGCATATTGATTATTTCAAGAGAGCTCGAAGACTTGCTAAGCTCAAAGTAAGCAAGCATAACTGCTGATTCTTCGATTTCAATGAGACAGCCAATCCTTATTACTAGTAAACATAAGTATCTTATTACAGGAAAAAGATAGTATCTTATTCAACTCAACAGTTATCAGAAAATGGATCTCAGATCATGAAATTCATTTGTCTTGATGCATCGTTCAAATCAAATTTCCAGACTTCTTTTGTTTTATATATGTGTTTCACAAGTCAAGTACCCAAGCCATCCATCAAAAGGGAAAGAACATTCAACACGGTACCTGTTCACGAGGACCATCAGCTTCCTTTCCATCACTTCTTGAAATCGATACATTGGGAACTCTATCACTAGATTTCATTTCACTATCAGCAGATAATTCCATTTCCGAACCCCTCCTAGATATAGACAATGAGGGGAAGTTTGAGATTGCTTCCCTCTGAACCTCAATTTTTGGCCCTTCTCTAATAATTTCCACATCTGAAACTGTTCTCAAACTCCTACAGATTCGTTGCATAGTACCTGAGAGGTTATTCAACAAGAGTTGCTGTTCTGAACTTCCTTTCAAGTTAATAGGAAGGAAAAGCTCCAATATATAATCATCATCACCAGTGTAGGTGCTCCTCAACCTGATGGCAACGGCAGCATTCAGGTTACACTTGCGTGCATGATGAACAAGCGGATACTCACTAATGTCATAAGTCTTCACATCAGTAGAGAAGAATGGATGCTTAGACCGAAGCACTTTTCCAGCTGTACCTTTTCCTTCCTCAAGATAATGTTCCATACAAGCACGCACAAAATCCTGCGTCTCCCTTTCATTAACATAACAGGCTGTAGTTTCAACACGTAAGACACACTTACCCTCCTGATGTTTATTACCCTCTCCACCGCGTATTTTTAAAATTTCATCCACAGCTTCCTCAGTGTAATTACAAGGAATCCATGTTAGAGCCAAGGGCAAACTATGTGCATGACATACAGCACGTAAAACATCAGTTATTTCAGCTAATGCAGCTTGCTGGTTCCTCGAGAGGCACTGAGGGAAAAAATTGGAAGGAGAGGCCTTAGAGAAAATGTACAGTACCACAATTTTTATTCAGTTAACCAATATGAAAAAACACCCAATCTTGTTTTTACTTAAATACACACAAACACAAAATTTAACATAAAATTGCCTTTTCTATAACAGCTGAAGTTAAATGCATTCAGAGTTTTAATGCACCTGAGGAAGAGGTTGTGGAGGAGCGGAGGTCCTTAAATTCACAGCCTGCACATAATAGGGTTCAACTTAAATTTCATGATATCATACATAACTAATACAGTTCAGTACCTTAAAATCCATACATGATTTACTTTAAAGGAATATTCATTCTTTTAGTAATATAATATTAGGTATATAACATATACTACCAGTAGCTTCCCTCATTCAACAATAGCATGGCACCTAAAGGTTGAATATCAGATGTTAGCTATAATTTTATCTTACATTTTTAACATTGCTAAACCAACTTCTAGCATTAATAATGCAAACTCCACCTCATCCAAGAGAACTAAAGAAGTTATCTGTCATTAATTACAGTTTCTATGGATCAAAAGCTCCAGAGTTTCCATTTACAAACATGATGGTATATCTGAAAATGCAAGAATTTCTAGCAGAAAATGCATTATTGTTCAGCAGTAGCAAGTAGATGTACTTATAAATAATATGCAAAGAAAATAATATTTTGCTGCAAAAAAACTGAAAATATGGGTTAACGAGAGATGTAGAATGGAAGAAAAACTCTGGCAAATTATTAGTCAGTAATATTTTACCTCCTTATTACTCTTCTTCATGTCATCCATTAAAAATTAGTTTAAGTTTAAACGAGTCATAGATAGCCAAATGAGCAATAAGGATATGTTTGGGGAGTTACAGAGAACAGGAAACAGTCAATCAAACTATGTTTCACAGACTCGGGTGTTAACTAATAACTCTCTAGTACAAATATGTGTCTGACAAGAGTATGTCCAGGTTTCTCTTAGTTTCTCCATATATCTTAAGGATCTTAGGAAAGTCATATCCTTATGCCCATGTCTGACATGAATATGTCTAACACAGTTTTCACATTTTTCAAAAAAAATGAAGAGTTAGTGAAGGTTCATACCCATAAATGCAACCTTTCAATTGCAGAAACATAAATAGCAGATACTAACCTGGAGTGCAAGGGAGACAGTTTTCATTTCTGAATCAAAATTGGGTTTCTCTTTCATAGTGACAAGTTCCAGCACAGCACAACAAGTCATCTCAGGAGGTTCAAAAATTGGCAAGGCAATGGAACCACGGATTTTGTAATTGACAGCATGTGTAACTCGCAAGTACTCACCCTTACTGTAATGGATTACATTAGAAGTCCATTCAGGAACTCTAGAGATAAAAACACGACCAGGAAGCCCGGGGAAAGAACCCGGTTTCAGTTCTGCAGAGAAGATATATGTCCTTGAAACTTCACGATAACCCGAAAGCATCTGATCTAGCAAATAGGGCTGTTCAGAAGTGGTCAGCATATAGTGATCTCCTTGCTTGATTGGAACCCAAACTTGTGCCAAAATGCCCCCTCCAGATGACTCCTTAAGCAAGGACAGTGCTCTAAGCATCTTCTCATCAAGTGAGGGTCTAGTTGGCATAGAAACCAATGGATTAGACAAATCCGAAGAACCTAATTCTGCTTCAGATGGAACCAATGAATTACCAATGTGTGTATCTGTTTGCTGGAACACCAGTTTGTCCCCACAACTATAAGAACCATCCATGCCATTCAATGCGTCAGAAGTTTCAACAAAGGTTCCAGAATGTTGTCCTGTGATAGGTAGTGAATCGAAAGAGGTATAGGGCAAGGACGGATAGGAGGACAAATTGAAGGAAGCAAACACCTGATCTGTTGCTGAAGGACTATTAAACCACCCAGCATACGAATCAAAGTTCATGAGGTCTGAAAAGTTAAAAGGATCCTCTGAAAGTGAATTCCTGGTCCTGCCAGTGCCACCCAAACCCTCCATCTGAGCTCTGGGAGGAACCCAACTATTATTCCCTTTCTCTTTAGATGAAAAGGGGGAGTCCATTTTGCTCACAAAACAAACTAAACGACCCCACTTTCACCTGAAATCAGAAAATGCCAGAGTTCTATGAAAAAGCTTCCACTTAGCCTAACACTTTAATCCTTAAACCCAAATCTATTTCCATAACCCAGGAATTCCCCCCATCAAATTCATCTAGCTTTCCCACCCTTTCAAACACTAAACTCAATTGGGCCAAAAACTGTTTAAACACTAAACAGTTATAGTTACTAAAAGTAGTAATATAACAGGCAAGACGAACTTGCCCCAGAGGGGAAAAAGTTGAAAACCAATATTTCAGTCTCCAAAGCCACCGCTGATCACTGCAAGAGAAATCCACTGTTCTCAATTAACATACCCCACAAAAACCGTCTCAGATTCATCCTCTTAAACACAAAAAATATCAACAAAAAAGAAGAAAAAAACTAAATGAAAAAATAGATACACAAAAGATGAAAATGAGAATTTTAGGTGAAATTAACCAGATATCAAATTCCAAACTAAGTTCCCAATAAAAAGAAAATAAAACATCAACAAAGTAAGATAAAAAAAAAATCAAAATTGGCAGCTCTTTTTCCTTTAACTAGATTCTACTGAAATAAATTGAAGAAGAAATGTAAAAATCAATACCCTTTTACCCCTTACCTATGAAATCTGAAGATCCTTGAAATTCTGTAAATGAATAAGTAATTAACAAAAACCCAGAAATATAGAAGGAGAAATTACTACAAAAGGAAATCTTATTGGATTCTTAGTGACTGGATAAGAGATTGTGAGGCTGTGAATGAGAAGAAGAGGATTTTCCTCGAAGACTTGCTAAAAATGGAAAGTTTTGCTTGGATTGATTGGAGCAGTTAACTATGAGACCGAATACCTTGTGATATGTCTGATGCCTTAAAAGGTTGTCCTTTTCCCTTTTATTGGAATTTTTAGATCCATAAACAAATACAATGGAACCTAAGTAATTGATCAAAGGGTAAAAAACACATACGGTCACCTAATTTTTAGCATACATTCATTTTGATCACCAAATATATCTTCTCAATTTACCCGTCCCCTTTAGAGAAATTGTTCATTTTCATCACCAAAGTGTTAAGTTGATAACGATATTAGTGTTAAATGATTTAGTTAAGGTGCTTTAATTTTCATCACTGTTTAGTCATTCATCTATTATAATTTTAATCAAAAGTGATCCTTAAATATTTTTAGTCAAAATCAGTATTTATAAAATTGTAAATGAATCGAGTTTGAAAGAGTAAATTTTTATTCATGTTTGTTTATAAGTATGCTCATGTTTGTTAAATTTAGATTCTATTTATTTGTTTAATATTTATAAACACGATCAATTAATATTCACAAACATGTTAAATGAACATGTTCTTGAGCACTAAATAAATATATTTGTAAATACTAAACGAACATATTTATGAATATATTCATTGAACATATAACTAAAGATATATGCAAACATTTAAAAATATATTTATGAATAATAAACAAAAAAATTATAAATAAATACATCTCATTTTTTTAAAATCTAATAATCAAACATAAATATTAATGATTATATCATTAAATAAATAAAATAAATATAAGTATTGTTTAAGCAAGAGAAATATAAACTTTAAATATATGAGCTTATATATGAATTAATAAATAACAAACAAACAGTTTATATATGAACATAAATGAATCAAGCATATTTATATATTAAAATTTATTTACTTTTCTTTGAATAATTCCTACTTAGAAGAGGGAAAAATGAGTTTTGCTCCTAATAGGTATCGATCACAACCTAAGAAAGAGAGTAAATATCAATTGAGAGCTTTTAATCAACTACTCTAGAATTTGCCGGTCACCAACCTCACCCATCCTCACTCATCTGGACTTCAACGACCATGATCGTGATTCTCTGTCACACTTCAACTTTTATTTCAAACAGACTTCTTTCAAAAGCTATTAATATTTACTGCTACTTCTCATCATTAGCAGTTTTCACATTTTTGTTTGTCTTTCTTGCTCTCTAAATTTAGCTTAAAAGTTAGCACTAGCCTTTTATTTGAATGGTCCAGCGAGGCGGTAAAGCTTTAGTTGGTCATCTTTAGTGAATCTTTATCATTGATAATTACACTTGATGTTTTTAGATCAAACACTTTCAAACACATTGGCCAACTCACGAGCCTGGCGTTCAAACTCCAAAAGGATCATATCCTTACTGTTGAACAACTCGTAAAATTTTTACGAGTTAATAGAAAAGATCCAACATTTAGCACGGTGTTCCTCGAGAATAGGAAAGTAATGGAGCAGGCATTAGAACCCTCAAGGCCAACATTACCTCACCGAAACAAGAATATTGTGAGATAAAACAAGTAGTAACAAATATGCAGTCCGAGATAGATTCCAACACTTCGTCTCTCTTTCTCTCTCGCAATATGGGTGCAAGTCAAGTCTACCCTTTTCTTCCTTGTATACTTCAAAGTTTCAAACTGTGTTTCATGTGTGTTTTATTTTTGGTTTTGGTTTTGTACTTCATTGTTGTTGGTTAAAGCAAATGATAACGTAGTGGGATTCTGTTTGTGTGATCATGATTATTACAGAAGGAACCATGTTTCTGCTTTTTGTAGTTAAGATTGGAACAATGACCTTCCTTTTACTCAGTGTTTTGAATCGACTCGACAAACTGGATTGTTTCATTATAGCTTATGTCGAGGAGCGTGATTTATATGCCATCGAACGATCTTTATGAGAATGATATCGTTACTCCGGCCATGATTTAGTTCCTTGTAAAAGGGTAAGTAAGCTAAGAACCAAACAACCTTTAATTTATTCTTTCATTTGTTTGAAAGCTGATCTCTTGCTAGTAGAATAGTGGTTTTAAATAAAAATATTTCATTTGTTTTTCATAAACATGTTTATTATTTTGATTCGTGTGAAAGGTTTTGGTTTCTTCTAAATGCTATTGAATTGTTCATGCTAGTAGAATAGTACTTAGCGTTTGGACAATAATATTTTTTAATAAAGTATTCTAACAAAGCAAAGCCACCATTTGGGACCTTTTAAAGTCAAGTTTTCTTTTAGAAAACGAAGCCAAAAAATCTTCTTTAGTGCTTAGTTTCCTTTCTATCAGTGGTGGTGGCGAAGGTTAGAAAGGGTTTGAACGTGGAGTGGGAGATATAGATGTAAGAGACTGAAGAAGAAGATGAGATCCATAGAGAATAGCATTTTTGACATGCAAAGATTAAAAAAAGTTTTTAATTGAGTCATGCCATGACACTATTATAAAATTAATGACAGAGTGATAAAGAAATTAATATATAAAATTGAATGGTTAAATTAAAAAAGAGAAAATAACTTCAGTGACCAAAAATTTCTTATAATATACGATTTTAACAAATTTTTTTTGGATTTATCAAAATGACCAACAAAATCGCAACGCGATATCCAGAATCGCAAATCAGTTCCCATAATCACAACGCGATTATGAAGAATCGCAATGCGATAGTACAAATTCGCATTGCGATTTTCCAGAATCGCAACGCGAACATATAAATCGCAACGAGTATCCGTAAAATCGCAACGCGTATCCGTAAATCGCAACGACAATACGTAAAATCACAATGCGTATCCGTAAATTGCAACGAGAATACGTAAACCGCAACGCGTATCTGTAAATCACAACGAGAATACGTAAATCGTAATGCGTATCCGTAAATCGCAACGACAATACGTAAAATCGCAACGCGATTTTTAAAGCGTCATTATAATCGCTACGCGTATTTTATTTTCAAATTCCAAACACGAATATTAATTATCGGAACATTGAACCGTCCACAGTATATCCCGTAATCGCAACTCATAACCTAAAACCTAAAATCACAACTCAGTCTCATCTCCATCTCTTACTCTCTACGGCGAAATCCGTCCCCATCTCCGAAGATTTCCGTCCCCATCTCCGACGAAATCCCTCACAACCATTCACGGTCAGAAATCCCTCAATATCATTCAGAAATGGAAAATCAACCTCCGAGGGTTAGTTTTTTTAATTATTTTTATTTTGAAATTTTTGCATTATTTTAGGTTTTTCATATTGAAATTGATGATAAGTTTACTGGTAATTTCAATAATAGATTAACAATTTCACTTAGATTTCTTATTAAATTCATTCGATTGCTGCCAATACTACTAAACTGTTTAGTCTTTAACCCTGTGAAGTTAGTATTTGTCTTTATTTTGTCTTTTGGTTGAAGTAATGCAATCTATTAAAGTTTCAATTTGCAGAAGAAGAATAGTTTCTAAACTTAAAATCGCAACATGAAAATGAAAATCGCAACACGAAAATGACTATCGCAACGAGAGAAATGAAAATCGCAACGAGAGAATCGCAACGCGAAATGAAAATCGCAACGAGATAATCGCAACGCGAAATGAAAATCGCAACGAGATAATCGCAACGCGAAATGAAAATCGCAACGCGAAACCAAAATCGCATTGCGATTTTCATTTCGCGTTGCGATTTTCTCGTTGCGATTTTAATTTCGCGTTGCGATTTTCATTTTGCGTTGCGATAGTCATTTCCGCATTGCGATAGTCATTCTCTCGTTGCGATTTTCATTTCAACCAAAAGATAAAACAGTGTTGTAAATTTTAGTTTCAAGAATAAACTACTACTCTTTATGTTTATTGTTTTTGGTATATCTTCACAGTGTAGTTTTTGGTATATCTAACTTGGTATGTTTATTGTTTTTGTAGAAATTTTTTTCGGCTTCATTGACATTAAGGAATAAAGTTAGCTTAGCCACTACAATTTCTTCGAAGCTTTCATCTGCACAAAGAAAATTGTTTGAGGAAACCTGCTTCGGGCCATGGCTGAGAGTACAGCATCCGGGTAGAGATGCTAATTTGACCCATTTGTGGCTTCAGACTATGACTAGCGATCTACCCGACAGTATACAACGTGGTGAGGAAGAGATATGGTTTCATTTTCCACCGGCGTATACTTGTTTTGGGCGGAAAGAGTTCTGCTTAATCACTGGTCTACGATTCGGACACGATGATGTAGGCCGGTACACTCGTCATATTACCCGCCCATCATGGTTATCCCGGGTTTTTCCTGATGAGTCAATAGAGAAGCCGAACTTACACGTCGACGACCTGAAGAAATTGTTTAATAAGAAAGATGGTTTTACTCGGTTGAATGACGTCGATGTTGTCCGAATATGCCTTCTAGTACTTTTGTATGCCGGCTTTTTAGGCAGAGAGGCCAGACAACATATTCCTCAGGAGTTAATATTATTGGTAGAGGACCTAAATGCATGGAATCTGTTTCCGTGGGGTTCGTATATATGGAAAGCTACCTGGACTAAGTTGTCGTCTGCCTTTGATGACCGCAAAAGTTTGTGTGGCGATGGGTCGAAATACACTTTGTCAGGCTTTATTTGGGCCTTTAAGGTAAGAATTTCTATATAATGTTTTCAAAATTATAATTAATTATTTAACAATTACTAATGTTTGTTATTATATTGTTTGTAGATTTGGATATTCGAGGCTTTCCCCAGCATGCAGACATATGCATTAAAAACTTCAAATGATATTCCTAGGGCTATTTCCTGGAAGAGGAAACGTATGTTGGATTGGGAAGACTTAATACCATATGCGACAATAAATAATGTAAGTTAACACAAATACTATCATATATAAACAAGTTATTAATAGTATACGTTTAACTTTGTTTGAGTTTTTATATTTTTAGGAGGCCAACACTCCATTACAGAGACTGACACCCACGGAGGCTGAGCTTGC